AACTTTGCCAAATGGCCAAATCTACTACAAATATCACATTCAAAAACATGTGATCTACTAGAAGCATTTGGCAAACATGATTTTCTTTTCAAATCAAAACAATACTTGGCCAAATAACCAAAACGATCACAATGATCACATCTATACACATGAGCATACTTCTGATGAACAATGGGTGCATGTGTGTGTACATGTGATAAAGAAACTTGATGAGATGCACAAGGAGCATTGACATTTTTATGTTTGTGTGCATTATAGCAAAATTTAGCCAAATGGTCTTTACGGCCACAAATAGAGCACTTGTAAACTTTGCTATATATATGCATAATGAGTGGATGATTTTGACTTAGACTTGGCACACATATCCATATGCTTCTTATGATTATTAATGCATGTTTTTAAAGTTGAATCTAAAGTTGAAATACGTTTATTCACAAGATTCAAATCTTCATTATTAGGCACATATGTATTTTTATTAGAAGTAGAACATAAATAGTCATTTATAAAAGAAACATTATCATTTTTTATGTTCTTTACTTCTAACTTGGCATTATCTCTTTCATGAGTTAAGCTAGAAATGGATGAGGTTAATTTTTTATTTTCCAAATTTAACATATCATTGTTTTCTTTAAGCAAGATATTTTCTTTTGCAATGACATCAAATTTGGAACCTAGCAACTCATGATCAGATTCTAAATTAACATGCTTGCTTTGTAAGTCAATAAAATCTTTATGCAATTTGTTATAGGCATGCAACAATTTTTCACCAGCATAAGCAAGTTCATCACTGGATAAATTATTATCGGGTTCGGAACCGCATATCACACTAGGGCTAACGCCTGGTGGTCGTGTGAATGAAGAAGCTCCAATATCACTTGAAGAAGAATCCTCCAAACTATGTCGGATTTCCTCCAAGTTGTCTTGATGTACTTCTATGAATTTTTATAAATTGTAAGCACTATCAAAATGAACAAACTTGTTAGACATAGATGAATCAAAAGCATTTAGCAAATATTCTAACAAAATCTTGTTCATTGTAAACATTCGATGATCATTTTTATTCCACTTGGATTTCTCCATAGTGGGCACAATATAAGCATCATCTATAATTTCTCATAAATCAGAATGTTTAGATCCAACAAATAGCTTAAATCTAACACACCATTGGGCATAAGGGAAATTATCTAATTTTGGAGCAATATTGATGGCATAACCTAAACTAGGTGCACAGTGCATATCCATAATATATGTATATATGTGCAAGCAAGATAACAAAGGAAATCTAAACAAGATTAGCACAAAAAGATAACTTGGATCTTTAACTCAAGATGATTAGACCTTAAATCAAAGAGTACCAAGCTGTGATACCAATTGTTAGACCCTAGAGGGAGGGTGATTAGGGTCTTATGCTAATCTAATCCGATTTTATGCCAATTAAAACTAATTCAACAAACTATTCTTGCAAGCTAGATATACAATGTGTTATGAGCAAGAATAAGCAATATGAGCGAAGGGATATATCCTAGCAAAGAGATATATGGTGAATTATATGCAAGGATCTATAAATTAATACAAGGGTGAAATAAATAATCTACAAAAATAATAGGGCAATATGAAGAGTAATACACAAAGGCGATATAAGATATGAATACAAGAATAAGTATGTCAATGCAATCACAAACAAAAGATATGATCATGGAGTTCGGTCCCCACGACCTACGTCTCCACTCCTCACCTCGAGGAGATCTCCACTATCACAACTGGGTTTTCTACGCTCACCCGAATAACGTTTACACCTCACAATACAGTTTTCTAGTTCACCGAAAACTTTATAACTACACACTTGCAATCACACTCTACACCCTCTAAGTGTTGGCCTAGCACGTGTCCTCTTCCTCAAATACTCGGATTTACAACCTCTCTCTAGGCTCTACAACCGACGTCACTTCTCTTGGAATCGACTCCACCTCTCACCAACCACTCCTCTCAGTGTACAAGTGTAATACAATGTGTAACTCACAATAATGCTCAATTACAATAAAATGTTCTCTAATTGGATGAGAACTCAATGTAAGCTCAATCTCACAAATCACAAACCCACAACCCAAATAATACTATGAATGTAAATACAATAAAGCTCAATCTCACAAATCACAAACCCACAACCCAAATAATACTATGAATGTAAATACAATAAGCTCAATAGTTGTGTGTGTGAACAAAGAGAAATAAAATCTAACTCAATTAAATTCTAGCAAATATAAATATGACAATGTAAATGTAAACAAGCTAGATAATTGAGTTGAGAAAACTTCTCTAGGACAAGAGAGATGGAGATGTGAAGTGAAAAGATCAAACCAAAGATGATCTCCTCTTCTTGTGAAACAATCTTCACAAATCAAACTTGAAACTCTCTTTTAAACAAACACAAAACACCCTTAAACTTGTTTAAACAATTCTCTTGGATGGGTGTAAGTGTTGAGGGATGATGAAGTATATATAGGAAAACCCAAAGCCAAAAAAAACCCAAAAAAATACCAAAAACACCATAAAAAGATAAATCTGGAAAACTAGCCGTTATAGGCTGAAAACATATCATCAGTCGACTGATGAAGTCATCAGTCGACTGATGAAGTTGACCGTTGAAGAGTTTTGGCAGATTCTGGAATTTTTGCGTATCTGGCTTTATAAAATCAATTAAAAATAGTAAATAAAATTTAAACATCATGAAATTTTGATGGAAGGTTCTAGACATGTATATAAACATGTTAGAGAAAGAATTTATAAAAAATCCCTTCCCAGTTGAGAGAAATAAATGTTTTAACACAGATATTATAGTTTCTAAAAACTGCTAAAACACCCCACTTTGTAAAATCAATTTGACACAATAAATCAACTCCAAAAGTCATGAAATTTTGAGGGAAGTTTATAAACATGTATTTGAATATGTTAAAGAAACAATTTTGTAAATATCACTTCCCATTTGAGAGAAATAACTTATTTTGTAAACTGGTTAAAAACTAAAAATCTGGAAATAGTACAAAACTAGCCATTATGAGCTTATCAGTCGACTGATCAGTCGACCGATCAATCGACCGATGATCTCATCAGTCAACTGATCGGTCAAATAAAAAGAAACAGAGTCTTTTAGATGATTCCATATATTTTCATCAGTCGACTGATAAATTCCATCAGTCGATTGATAACACTGTATCAGCCTGATTGAAACAGAAAATCTGATTTTTGAAGTGCTTTTAAAAATAGTAAATAAATTCCAAAAAAATATAAAACTTTGGCAAATCATTGTAAATATGTAAATGAACATGTTACAAAAAGAATTTTTAGAATTGTACTTCACATTTGTAAAATATCATCATTTTGCAAAATAGTCCAAAACATAAAAATACAACAACACTTGTTTTTTATCATTTTGACTAAACCATGTTTTAAAACTTTATAAAATAATTTTATAAACTTAATAAAATATGTATAAACTGATATTAAAGTCTATAACCAAATAAAATAATATTTTCATAAAAACACCTATATTTTGATAAAATCAACAAAATCAACAAATACGTGTGTGTAATTAATATATGAGCTTAAAGTATCTATACACAAGTATAAATCTAAAACTAAATTACCCAAGCTTGATAGATCTTCATTGAAGCTCTTTTTGGTAAACTTGCGGATGAAGCTTGAACTTAAATCTTTAACTTGAATTGTATTGCTTCACTCCACAATTCCGCCAACCTCCATTGGATTTGATCGTGAATGCTCGATTCTATCCATCCTCCAACATATTGTTTATCTACAACGAATACAAAACACAAGCACTAGACAAACAATATTAGATATAAATTGTTTGTTAAACATCATCAAAACAAAGAGACCAACAAATCCCCCCTCTCTCTCTCTCTCTCTCTCTCTCTCTCTCTCTCTCTCTCTCTCTCTCTCTCTCTCTCTCTCCATTTTCTTTATTTTTTTGAGGGGGCTCCACTTACATGAAGGCTATAATTGGAATTTAAGAAAAATATTTAGGGGGACCCACATATGAAAATATTGTATTTTGGAGATTCGGTTTAAAGATAAATACAAAAAGAGAATTGGGCTTAAGGATACAAGTAATAATACTTGGGTTTAATGATAAAGTTGAGTAAATAAATGGGCCTAAAAATAAAAACCCCTACATACAATAATAAAGGTGGGTCTTATTGTTTCCGTCTAAATGGTCAAAACCATCACATGATAGGTTCTTTAAGACCAGTCCCTGGAAACAATCCACAATTCTGTCAGCTCTATATCTATGATACAGATAATGAATTAAAAAGCAGTATGGACGCGTTGAATGATTACATGGAATTGGATTGGGATATAGTTGAAGGACTTCTAAATATGTTAGATTCATGTAATGAATTGGTTAAATGCTTTCAAATGGTGAGAGATAGACTAAAGCAAGATAATTTAATTCCTATCAACTTGATCATAAAGGCAGCCCGAAGCGGTGATGGCCGACATGTATTAAAACTTGGATCATTTTTAAGTATAGAGGAATAGATATGAATCTAATTTTAAGCGTACAATAATTAAATCAAATGTATTAAAACTTAGAGAGTTTAAAATACAGTGCTTAAAAAACATAGGAGACCATGCTGCTTTGTACCGGATGCACACTAGTTGTGCAATAAAACAAAGGCTATTACTGTAATAACTATAGAATGTGGAACGCTTTACAATTTTAAAATCTACAATCGGACAGATGACCATATGAGGCACACATGACATTCAAAAAGAGTAGACTACGCTACTATTAAACTACTACAATATAGCGAAGTGTTGAACCTATTCTCCGTAACAACGTCAATCGTACAAAAGGATTTTCTGCTAACCAAACAATCTAGAATTCCACTTTCAAAAATATGTGAATAGGACAGATTGGATATACAATTATATAAACAAACTCATAAAAAGAAGAAATACTCGGCGGTTTTCTCAGAAAATAGCCATGAACAAATACCTCCAGTCTTTTATTTCTAATAAATACGTAAATATTCAGCTTACAGATGGATAAATGAACAAAATTAACACTTGTAAATGCTACTGCAATGTATAAATTTTTTCTTCTCCCGTCTTCATCAGTTGGAAAGATGAATAATATGCCATTAATATTGGTACAATTTTAATCACCTCCAGTTTATTTGGGCAAGAAGAGAGATTTGCATTGTTCTGCTGTGTCCTCTGGGCTTGTTACTGCAAGAAGACGTGATAAATATATGATCAGAACTATAACCATAACAATAAAAGTACATAAGAGTTCAATCTTAATGGAGCAGAAATTTGTACAACAACAAATCCTTATCCCAAATTTCCGGATAAGCTACATGAAATCTTATTCTTTCGCTCCGTTCTGTACCGTTAACAACTATCTCCTCCATAGAGTTAACCACTATGAACAGCTATATGACATAAAACAGCCATAAATGAAAAAATGACAAAAACATGAACTATTGAAAACCACAAATTGGTGGGCATGGCACAGCTGCAAACTCAGTTACTTAAAAAAAATGATCAGGTTACCGAGAACGTTAAAGCCTTCCTGGTTAAGCGCATAGAGGCTTCATAGTGTTCTTTAAATAACTGAACCAACAAGTTGTCATATACTTTCAGCAGACAGCTTTATCAATAAATGATTCACTAATGGAGTTAAGCAATAGGGATGTCTGATTATAGCATAGTTTCTTCAAATATTGCTCTTGACATAATTATGTGGACATGACATGGCGACATGCAGAGATTCTAGAAATACACATATACGTGTATCAGACATGCTTATCTAATATCATACAGCTTTAAGGGCCTGTGCTGCAATCTCTCTATATTTTGCTTGAGCTTAAAAGCTAGTTTTTTACCCATGTCATTATTCACATGACATTCGGTTGAAAGTTACATGAAGGTTTGGCTTCCCATTTCATTACTATACCTAGCGAGAATCTACTTTGTAAAATGGATGAAAACAACGCTAGTTTTGGACTTGCAACCTAAATCCAAGCTAGAAAAAAAGTGACAGTGATTGACCATAGTAAGTGCCATCAACCATCTCCATCTGATTTATGTTTAGATACATGTTAGAAAGCCTTGTACATGCACACAGTAAAAAACAGTAAAAAAGAAGTACTTTATGTTATAGTAGAGGATACCTGTATGGCCCACTGTTTGTTCAGATTCAAAGATCTCATGGTCATTCCCTCCCTGTACATAAAAAGAGGCTTGTCAATTTATTTACCAAGGAACAAACTTGGAAATCATTGAATTCAGACCAGTTAGACCATTTTTGAGAGCTATATAGAAGCTTTATAAATTTAGATACTAATATCGAATTGGAATACAAGTAAAGGAAAACTTTCCATGTTAACAATTTGTACATAATTTGACACGTAAGAAATGATCCAACCTCAAAAAATATGTGAGGGACGGAAACTAACCTGACAAATACAACATATAGAGACCACATAATAGAACCATGTTAGTGATAAAACAACAGACTTTGTGTGTGTGTGTGTGTGTGTGTGTGTGTGTGTGTGTGTGTATCCCTTATATTCTTCTTTCATTAATTTTTTAGTTCAGTTGATAAGAGATTGCATTCCACAAAGGACCATTGAACTGAAATAACTCCTAATTAAGGACAGATCATTATAAATAATAAGCAGACCAACCAGCTGAAGCATCATGACTTGAGGCATGTTGGACCTTCGACACTACTACTAAAGATCATTAAGTGAAAAATGTTCCATAGTCAAGAGTTGAAGCTTTAACGTGTATCAACTATAATCAAAGTATCCTGCAGCAAGAATGATTTAAGGTTCTAGAAAATATTCCTATAAAATTAGCACATCTAGTATCTATATTTGGCCACTTCCATCTGTAGTACACTTTAATATTTCTCTGAAGTATGTGATGAAGAATAGGAGAGAGAATCTAGTACGTAATTTTGATCCACTTCTAATTTACATATATTAAAATAATTTACTATTTAAACTTTCTCTATGTCCGATATGAAGCACAGATGAACACAATAATGCTCATATTACCTTGTAGGTTTTGTCCCCAAAGAAATGGATCTCCTGGAAGTCATCAAGGTACCTCAAACAGTAGGTCTTGTCCCAGCCTTGTGGAAACACCTACAATAAGAACCAAAGCCAGATTAGAATAGATTATTGACTGATTACAATACTCCAAGAACATGATTACTAACAAAAACATACATCAAAACTAATCTGTCCTCCAATGGAAAATGTTAGATTCAAATGTGCAAACTTTTCACGTAGCACAGAGACCATCTTTGCCCTCACGTTATGAACCTGAAATTATTTCAATTTTTAACATTAAACTAATTGTATAATGCATCCTTTTAATCAAAGATGCAAATAACTCAGTTAATTGGGAAAGTAGATACATACCTTGTCATACTTTTCAAACTCATCCCTCTCCTCTTGACTACAGTTCCGCCCTATTGGTGAAACATTTAGCATTCCGCTGCGGAACTCAATGAATGTCCCCCTAAGAGATAACAACATGAACTTGTAGCTGATAGCCTAAAGAAGAAATTTAACTAGCAAAACAAAGATATTGCTCACCTTTTTATTGCGATATCCAGGTCAGCAATATAATGAAGAGTAAAGTTAATTAATTCCTGCACCAAATTTACTGTATTTAGAAATATTCTACATACACATGGTGCAAGAAAAAGTTGTAAAAAATATCAGACCTTGAGTTTGTCGTCTCCAAGGAATGATTTCAAGCTCTGCAAAATGGAGGAAAGATTTTGATTTCTATCAGGACATACAAAAATGGTATATTCATCAGAGAAAAAGGATGAACTAGCCATGAAATTTTTATAAATAGACTTTTGATTAAAGTAGATATATAATAATAAAAGGGATATCATGCATAAATGTCATCTATGTGCATGGTTTCAAACAACAAGCTCACAGTTTCTTTTGACAATAATGGCGACACTCATCCCTCAGTACCTAGATTATCATTTCTAAAGTAATGGCTCATAACTAGAAAAAAAAGAAATAGCGATGAACATATCATAGATACTTATCAGCCAATCAGCCATACATTTTATATCTTCGACATGGAATAAAGATCAAAGGAAAGCACATGAGGTCTTCCAGCTAGCAAACCTTCTTCCTCAAATAATTACTCTAGGTTGACACTAGCGCAACTTTATATTACTACTGAACCTCCAACTAAGTTCCTTAACTATTCCATAGCAAAGACATCTTTAGTAGCTTAATTTACATCTACTTACTAACATTATAGAATTTCTAGGTGAAATTCTTGCAATGGCAGATTTTATCACATAAGATCTATCTAACAAAAATCAATTAAATTCCAAAAGTACAGAAATGATGATTTAGGAATGCATGCCAAATACCCTTTGGTTTGTGATGTCAGTGTACAACATCCTATGATGTTCTATTGATTTTATAAGTTGAATGTATAGATTAGCCATCAACTAGCTAAAAATGTTTACAAAGACTAATATACCGATAGTTAAAGAAATGAGAAGGATATTCCAATAAAATATTTCCTCAGCTCCACTTGGTCTCTTTTGTTTTATGAAAATTAATTCAATCTCTCCAATTGACAAACCAAATCAGCTTAAATTCATCTGAAAGACCCCTGGAAGCTAATATAGCAATATTCAACTCCAGAAATTGCAGATTACCTGTGTGCCGATGAGTTTACCATTCTTGTAAGCAACAAGACCATTTTCCGCAAATACATAATCATAGTCAGTGATGACTGCACAATAAAGCACATTATCATGTTTTATACCTCCTGAACAAAATAAGGAACATACAGAATATTCCCTAATAGAAATATTGTGGGAATACTGATTATGAAAGCTTAAAAGCACACGTATGCTACTTGGAATCCCTCCAACCAAAATGAAAGACTGGGCCAGTAATTATAAATGCATTGATCTGATCCCTCTCAAAGAGCAATACTACGAGTAACTTAGATATTAACTATACTAGTTCAACTTTTTGGTTGACAAAATCATGTAACTCCACCAACTTCGTTCTATAACAATCCAAAATTCACACTAGTGGCTTGGGTCATGTCAGGAAAGTCCTAATAGCGGCCAGGATCAACTCTAACTTGCCTTAGGTCTCAACATACTGTCCTAGTAGCGATACAATGTTGCTTAACATCGAAACTCAACTTTCAGCACACTGTTGTTCCTATATCCCCTATTAACCATGTTGCATGTGTACGGGTACAGGCACGGAAAATTTGGAAAAGGTAGGGTACCGGGACATGGCTATATAAATATTTATATACGCATATATTATATATTGGAGTTAATAATTTATGTGAGAACAAAGATGAGAACTAAAATTCCTATAACATTTTTATGTTTCCTTTATTATGTGGAATCTAAATTGGAAAATTACTAGTTTTTGACCTAGACATCCAGACGATCGTCCAAAATCATAATTCGGAGCCCGATCTATGTCCAACAAGTTTCAAGAAGTGGAAGTGAAGTGTAGGATATATGTCCAAAAAATGTATGAAAAGTGTTTTAAATTAAAACATGTATTGTATAATTGATTACACACCCAAATAAATGTATGAATATATGCAAGGAGCGTCCAAGGCATTTAGGTACAGGGGTATGGGTATGTGTCGGGTACGGGTAAGGCTTCAGATTAAGTACCCAGTCAACATAGCTTATTAAGAAAACACAATAAACTTTTCAGACTAGAACATTAGAACCAAATGGATATAAATAGTACCTATTATTTCGACCTTGTAAAACAAATCTTTTCAAGGTTTAGCTTCTCCCTGGTGCAGATAGCAGCAGAGTCCACTACTTCAATGACAACTGTTTATCATTTAAAGACGATCATAATTTATCTTTATTAAAATAGGGAATACGTGAAGTTCTTGGGAATACAATGCTATTATATTTGGAATAAATCATAACCATTCTTGACAAGAATGGACGATTGTGATTTGGGGTGGGTACTAGTCCACTACCAAATAAGATATGAAGTGGAACAAACTCATACATTAAAAATTCAAAATCGACCTTAAAGCCCTTCCACTACACTAAACCTCCAAAGTCGTGTGGGTTAAGGGGTATAAATTATTTACCTATAAGCCACGAACTTTATCTTATTCGCAAATTTACCATCCAAATCTGAAGACTTATTAGTTTAACCCCACACTTTTTCCAAATTGACTTAAATACACTTCTCCTTTAGCAATGTTAAATCTCAACCGATAAGAGATAAAATGACAAAAATACCCCTCCCTATTTAAAAGAATAAGGATTTTTTGCCTATATACCTCCTAAATCTACCCTATTTGCAGATTTTACCCTTCAAATCTGCATATTCTCTGACCCCGATGATTTTAACGGTGTCAAATGAGGAGTGTCAAAGGACTCTTGCCATGCACACCAAAACCCGGAAGTTATGGTGAGGATTGAGGGATATAAGTTTATCTTCCAATATGCCCTCCCAGATGGAGCGCCCTTTTATGGGCTAAAACATGGTATTACGGAAACGTATTTTTAAATCCACTTTAAAGTTTGAGGCCAGAAGGATATGAACCTAGATTGCTCTAATACTATCCATCTTATTCTTATACTCTAACAAGGAGTATAAAAATCAAAAATGTGATAGGGTAAATTGGCAAATATGCATATGTAGGGGATAAATCTGCAAAAAGGATAGCCGTACACATAAGAATACCGATAATTTTATATTCTAACATATCCCCGCAGGTTGAGCGCTCTTTCCATGGCTGAAACCTGGGCTTGGCCAATGGAATTTGAACCTAGATTGCTCTGATCTCGTAAAATCCGAAGTTACAGCGATGGATGTTTATACTCTAACAACCATCACCATTCTACACTTAATATCCGCGAGATCAAGTTCTGACCGGGGAATAACATGAAAACAACATTCCATTCTGAAGATCACCACTGCATACTTTCTAAGAAGTAATCACACCTGACTTCCCCAGCTGTTCCGAGATCTTTGCAAGATCAGATCCTCCAACTACACCCACTGTTATAACCTGCCACAAAAAAGGTGGGGGGGGATTTTCTCAAAACTCCCTATTAAAAAAATTTACTTAAAAACACAGCTGCGATTCAATGATACTGCTGTACCTTCCGGAGTTCTTTCATGAACTCCAACATTTTCTGGCTCACAACCTAACAACAGATATACAAACAAATCACAAGAACCTATGTTAGTAATCTCAAACGAATCAGAATTTTCCTTTAAAAATAGGGATTTTCCGAACATTTCTCGGGACGGTGAGGGTCCCATCGACGTCGAACAACGCGATCAGCCCAGGCGTCCTTCCCGCCATTCTCACTGTCAAAAAAAAAAAATTCTCATCAATCCATCACTAATCTGTCAACAATTCCGAGATTTTCGTAGACGAAGGTTGAAGATTTTTACCCCTTTTGCTGAGATTTTCCGAGGAGAGGCCGCAGATCTAGAGATCGAAATTGAAATCGGAGAGATGCGTCGGTCGAATTTATAGGGGATTTTAAACGGTCGAGATGGGGCCACGTGGAAAGAGAGGATGACAGTTGGAAGGAGCATGCTTGATCTTCGAAACGTACGTGCCGTGCCGCACGTGGAAGGCGCCTTTGTTTTGGTGCCCGCGTCACAATCCGGATCCGGATCCGAAAGTAAATATATTATTATTATAATCTAGATAGATAGGCTGATGATGAAGACTAGACTGGTACAAGTTGTTGCTACTCTTTGCGCGCATAGACAGAGCGTGTCGTGTGGGGGCGGGTTTGATCGTCATTTGATGCTCAAGCCCAAGTTAGTGACTCGAGTATGTATTAAAATCGAGATCTGAGACTAGAAATGTACGTAGAACGAAAACTGAGTTCTCATATCTCGAGTTAGTCTATTGGTGATAAGTTTTGCTACAGTTGCCCAAAATATGGGACCAACAGTGAAGCATGTGATGTGTCCCCTCCTATTGCATAATGAGCTGACCATCATTAATGATGACCAGCTTATTATGCAATAGGAAAGGGACACCTCACATGTCCCTCATATTGATCCCATATTTTAGGTCCTTAGAAAATTTTTCATTCGTGATGGTGAGTTTTTTCCACAATTAGACCCCCTCTGTTAATCGTTGTGATTTGATATCATATGGTGTGCTTTAGGACCTGATGGTTTCAGAGTGTCTATCGTGCTAATATGATTCGAATCGTGGCACCCACGTAGACGAAGAACGTACATGTGACGTTGAACTTGTTCGGTGATTTGATTTGATCAGTAGGATCATATCCTAACAACGTTTAGGGATGGCGAGGGGTTATTCCCCGCCGGGTTCGGGTTTGGATCCGGGTCGGATCAACTTCAGACGCATAGGATCCTGCTACGATCGCAGGGAAATTGATGTCTGGGATCGCACGCTTGCTTCTTGCGGTCCCGGAAAGCAATTTGATCCGTAGTTGTGCGGAAAGCTCCGTGCAAGCGGCAAAATTTTAATAAACGAAAAAAATTAAAGTGAATAAATGCACAGCAGAATTTGATGTCGCACCCTCAAAATCTTAGCTGGAATCAAGTAACGCAGATGGAAAATGCTCTTCTGGTGTTTTTCTTCACTAATTTGAGTCCAACTTTTCTTGCGGATTCGTGTCCAAGGCAAATTAATTAGAGTACAGCAAGTACCCATAAATTACACGTTGCACGTGTACTGTGAACTAAATACGCCATGGAATAAATTTGCATGAATACATCCCTGTATATTCAAAATTAATTTCCCACGTCATTTTCTGATACCTGCATTCACTAGAGGCAGGATTTACAAGAATTAACTCCTCAACCGAGGACATTACTGCTACTGTACATATTCTTTGCTACTGTAGTCCTGTAAATTGCAAATTCTTAATCCCGAGCTTGAAAGCGAAGAACAATTTGTCTCTTATAAATAGTTTTTACTTCCTTATTCGAATACCAGGTACATCCTTCAACCCCATCTTCAGTGCTGTTTTCCTGTAAAGAGAAGGTGGCTTCTCCAAACCAATTGAATGACAAAATTTATTTGCAAGATCGGCAAGCAAAGTTTTATCTCTTCCTATATCGCTAATCGAATTATAGTATCCGAGCCATGCATGATATGCCGCTTCCTTGATGCTTGTATCTACTTTTCCAATAGATTCCTCCACCTTCATAGGAAAAGGAAACACAGAAGTCATATTACATAATAGTTTCATGCATGAGCCAAGTGACGTGAATAATTTCACGATGTCAATATGTATCTTCATATGATTGTGCTTTTTTAACGTGTTAGTATCATAGTACAGGTAAAATATGGTTTAGGCCCCACGAGAAGCACCAAACAAAAAAAGGGGTATAGTTAAGTCTCCATAACACACATCTATCTGGTTAGGTCCTCGAGAAAAGGGCCAAATCACAGGAATAAGTTCTGTTAGAAGGGGTTTTCCAAAAAAAAAATTTGCACCAAAAATTAATCACATGTATAATGGCTGTCAACAGAAAAAGGATTCGGAATTGGTTGATGAAACTCTATAGCTCGATGCTATAATTCATAATAATTATTACAATTCAAGAAAATGAAAACCTGACATAGCGCTATGGTATGCTTACTTTTCAATATTAAAAAAAAAATGACTGCTGATATACGAGCTCAGTAACACAATTAAGGTGATCTTCTCAACAAAATGCTAGAAATAGAACTGACTAGTGAGCTGAGCTTAGTGCCACAAACTGTGTATTTGAATCCGAGTACAAGGCAAGGATAGTTATGATACGAAGGTATTTAACTACTTGTCATATTGCAAACCAATGCTCTCGAAGGTAATTTCAAAAATTGCAAAATATATGAAGATAGTAATATAAACTTAGTATGATGGAAATACATCATATGACAGAAGGTAATTTCAAAATTTGCAAAATATATGAAGATAGTAAGATAAACTTAGTATGATGGAAATACATCATATGACAGACTAGCATAGAAAGGATCGATCTAGTTCTGCAAACATGACGACGTAAGGAGCTTCGCTTACCTTTTGCTTTATAACCGAATCCATCTCAGGTGGAGGATGCTTCTCTATAGGGAGATCTTTCATCTCTTGCATGAAATATTCTTCCCATGGTGCAAGCAATAAAATGCCTTTACCATCTTTGCCTTCGCGTCCCGTTCTTCCAAGTCGATGTATGTATTGTTCACGATCAGAAGGAATTCCAACCTGAGTGTCATTAGTAATAACTTTGTTATTGTTATGACAGCAAACTTAACTTATAGCATGTTCACATGTATCCCGAATATGATATACCGACATGTGCAGAGAAAAAAATTTTGGTGATCAGTTACAATTATGTTACAGACAATGTAACCAATATGTCGTTTTTACCACATCATGAAGATTCATCTCTATATTTTAACCAGAAAAAGTACAACAAACCATGAACTTATGGAGGCATAAAACGCATACCAAAAGAGAGTAAAAAAGAAACAGAAACAGAATAATAATGGCATGAAAATAATCTTATAGTGGTTGCTCTATGTAGGCTGTCTAAAAATCACAATAGATAGCTGATCCCCCATCAAACACCGATGATGAAAGTTACAATCCGACGACTTCCAGAAGGCTATAATTTGAAGACTTTCACGTAGATCGATGAAGGTTATAATCTGACGACCTTCACAACAACCGATAAAAGCTCTAGTTCAACCGCCTTCACAATCAACATCGGGAGTTACAATCTGACAACTCTCATATTTTCGAGCAGTCAAGACGAAGGTCACTCAACAACGGTCTTTGCAATGCTCTAGCAAAAGAGACTACAAATCGACGGTCTCTTCAAGTCAAAACGCACGGGTCGGACCTGCGTTGCAACATCAAAACGCACGGGTCGGACCTGCGTTGCAACATCAAAACGCACGGGTCGAACCAGCGTTATAACCTCAAAATACAGAGGTTATCCTTGTGTTATAACATCAAAACGCAGAGGTCATGATTGCGTTCCAGACTCAAAACGCAGAGGTCGTGGCTGCATTCCAGAGTCAAAACGCAGAGTTCGTGGACTCAAAACGCAGAGTTCATGCAGAGCCCATTTCTGCGTTTCAGAGTTCACAACACTGTGCGACCTGTGCGTTTTCAGCCTAAAACAGGCCTAACTCCGCGTTTTGATGTCTAAAACGCAGAGTTCGGGCCCAAAACGCCCAGATTGGCGTTTTGACTCGTTCAAAGCACGAACTGAACGGTTTCAAAACCGTTTTCCCCACGATTTGGGGAGCTGTTTAAGGGGGGCGGTTACACCCCGCTCAGTCCCATTTAGTAGCAAATTAAGGGGGCGGTTACACCCCCTTAATCTCCTATAAATACCTCGAAACTCAACTGAGTTCGGATCCTGGATTTTGGGGCAAAAAAGAAGAGATCTTGGCTCTCTCTCTTTGGGGGATCGCTGGCTTTTTGGGGAATTGCTGAAGCTTTGGAGATCGACCACCGGAGCTTTCTGCTGGCCTTGGCTTATTAACCGATTTTCGGTTCAAATCAACTCTTTTACAGAGTTCTTCTAAACTCATTCAGAGTTCTAAAACTTGCTTTGCAAGTTCTCCACAGCGTCAAACCGTGAGGAGAAGACATCGTTCCAGTGAAGTAAAACGTCGAATCGTCAAGGGAAAGCAAACTCGACGCGAGCATTTGAGGGAGGCACTCCATCGCCACCGTGAAGAACCCAGAATTAAACAAAAGGGAGAATCCAGATTCTCTTCTCTTTTGTAATCAGAAAATCCAATTGTAACTGAGATTAAAGGAATACAAATCAATTTTTTTTCATTTTCTTGCACTACAAATTTTCCAACAAACAAAAAATGACGACTCTGCTGGGGACTAGCTTCTCTGATGAAGAAGTGGTGGTGCAATCCGACGTTAACCTCGCTGGAACAACGGTCAAAACTCTCGTGGTAGAGTTTGATCAAGCCAAGTTTGAGAAGGCCCTCTCCTCCGGATCCCTTAGGGTCAAAACTCTCGTGGTAGAGTTTGATCAAGCCAAGTTTGAGAAGGCCCTCTCCTCCGGATCCCTTAGTTCCAAGGCTATGCGCAAGATCCACAAAGTTTCCAAGGAGACTAAAGCTCCAGTTGTGACCAACTCATCTAAAGACTATCTCTCATGGGGGTTGCACTGTTCATACAGTCCCCTCTCTAAAGGAGAAGACTCGACTTCGGCACAACTCAAAAAAAACCGATCCTCCAATCAACGCGAACTCCGTGTTTGCGAGCCTCAACATGAGCTCTGCATAAGCCAAACTAAACGCAGCCCTCAGATGTGCGTTTCCCAGATAGAATGCAACCCTCAGAGGCGCGTTCCAACATCAAAACGCAGACCTCAAAACTACGTTGATCTGGCTGAACGCAACTCTCAGGAGTGCGTCCCAGAACCAAAACGCAACCCTCAGGAGTGCGTTCCACAAACTGAACGTAACTCTCAGAAGTGCGTTTCAGAATCAAAACGCAGATTTCAAGACTGCGTTTCATCAGCTAAACGCAGACATCAGGACTGCGTTTCCTCAGCTAAACGCAGATATCAGGACTGCGTTTCACCAGCACAACCTGGAGCTCAGGCAGGCGTTCGGGTAATGAATTTTAATATAGAACCTGGTGTATACCGTCGAGCTTTGGGACGCTGCCCCGAACCCCGCCGGGGGGTGACCCCCTGGCCAGGGGCGCGCCACCCCCTGGACCCCCGGCTCGCTGACCGGGCAGCGAGACCCCCGAATACTCTGCGTAGCGCGACTAAATTGAGAGGTGGATATAAGAAGTTCATGGATTCAAGGCATCTCAACCTGATTCATGACCACCAAGAGCCAGTCCTGTCCAATCATGGACTGGGGGTTCCAATTCAAACCTCACGAGCAGTGGGTAATTCTCCTCGAATCTTCATAACAGATTTAAGAGAGTTAATATCGAGAGAAAGACCGATGCAACAAGTTATTCGTTCATTCCAATGTGAACGACTGATTCCTACGGTCTTCTCGGGACGTCAATGCTGCTCATATGTGGTCAAAACATTGGTGTTCGACCAATTAACGAACGTTGCTTTGCTCAACCAACGACGACGTTCGCATAGGAAGAAGTCGTTAGAGACCGAGTATCCTGGGGTCACTATCAATGTGATCGACAGAGGGAAAGCCTCAGGTCCTAGTTCCGATGACTCTGAGACAAGTCGTTCACCGACCGTCAGAGAAATCGCTAACGAGTTTGAAGGAATCTACCGATACACTCGGACTCGAACATGAGCCATTCCTCCTATCAACTATCGGAGTTTAGCTAGAGGAACTAATTCCGATGATGAACACTCAGCCATTGCGGAATCCCAATCATCAAGCTCTTTTGTTGAACATGAGAGCTCCGCTTATATGACGGAAAACCATGAAGATCTCGCGAAGAGACTTGATGAGCAGGAGGCCATGATCAAATCTCAGCAGGAGACCATCAATGAAATCTTGGCCCTGATGAATCAAATCGTCGCAGATAAGGCCAAATCTCAGAAGACAGATTCGCCACCTAGGCAAGAATTTTCCCGAAGAGGAAAAGCATCTTCATCCCGACCTTACACAAGCAAAGAGAAGGTAAAAGTGGTTGATGATGATGCTTCTGACCAAGAAGCCCACAACCTAGAATCTTCCTCTGATGAAGGAAGAGAGACTGAGAACGAGCAAAATCTCCAGTCTGCTAAAATAAAAGAATTGGAAGCCCGCCTCACTGCCATTGCTAACAGAAGCGAGCTTCAAGATGAGGGAGTAGTGCGGCCCTATCCTGCCGAATGGGATGCAGCCCCTTATCCTCCAAAGTTCGAAGTCCCGACGCTACAAACTTTTGACGACACGGGATCACCGAATCAACATATCTATCATTTCAAGTCACAGACTGGGAATGTGATATCAAACGACGTCATACTGGCTCTATTGTTCATTGGCACCCTCAAGGGAGTTGCCTTTGAATGGTTCAGGAAACTGCCTGCGGGATGTATCCAAAAGTGGACGGATCTAGAGAGGCACTTCCTATCAAGATTCTTTGAAGAGGATACATAAGTCTCCATCCATACCCTTCTCGTCACTAAGCAGAAGAAGAGGGAGTCTGTCAAAGTCTTCGTCAAAAGGTTTCAAAACATGGTTCTGCGATGTCCGACTGGTATGACACAATCTACCTTAGTGGAGACCTGTCGACACAACTTACAGACCGACCTTCTAGCACAATTGAGGGTTGTAGAATACCGTTCCTGGAGACAACTAATCTCTTAAGGCGAACAGACTCAAAAGATTATTGCCAGGATCAGAGCTGAAGAACAAAGTAGGCAGGATCAACCTGAGCAATCGGACCAAGCCCAATCTTCTCAGTCAGAAGGGGATACTACGGCCACTGAAGCCTATCCCCTTCAGTAAGATGACGGGTCCAACAACTATCACGTTAACAATTACCTCTGATAGTCAAATTCAATGGATAGTGGCCCACTAGGCGATGTGTCATGTCAACCCTTTTTCCCTCTTACACTTGTTCAAGACTGGGGGTTGGTTTATTTGTAGTTCATTGGATTATGAGTAATAAATTTTCTGAGTTGTCATGTTTAATATAATACCTCTATCAACCACGAAGTCTACCAAAACTATTACGTTAATAATCACCTCTGATAGTCTGTTTTCTTCCAAATTCCACCGCCAATCCTCTTCAAACAGGATGGCGGGTCCATCAAAACTAGCACGTTAACATCTACCTCTGATAGTCAATCAATCTGCCAATCCTCTTTAAGTAGGATGACGGGTCTACCAAAACTATCACGTTAACATCTACCTCTGATAGTCAATCTGTCAATCCTCTTCAAGTAGGATGACGGGTCTACCAAAACTATCACGTTAACATCTACCTCTGATAGTCAATCAATCTGTTAATCCTCTTCAAATAGGATGGCGGATCTATCAAAACTATCACGTTAACATCTACCTCTGATAGTCAATCAATCTGCCAATCCTCTTCAATAGGATGGCGGGTCCACAAAACTATCATGTTAACATCTACCTCTGATATTCCATTAATCTGCTAATCCTCTTCAATAGGGTGGCGGGTCCACAAAACTATCACGTTAACATCTACCTCTGATAGTCCATTAATCTGTCAATCCTCTTCAATAGGATGGCGGGTCCATAAAACTATCACATTAACAGTTACCTCTGATAATCAAACTCATC